TGGCAATTAAAAAATTGGTGGAAGCTTTTGCAGAAAATTGAAAGTAATTGCACAACGATTTAGAGTGGTTCGACTTTCTCAATTAAAGTCTACGTCCACTACCTTAGCTATCCACACTAAGGATTTTCCAACAAATTCACTAATTTGTTCTTTCTTTTGAGGCCAAAGAGATAACCTTACAACACCCTCAAGAATATACCCCAATTCTTGAGAACACTCTTTTTCCAAAGAGAAGATTACAAATTTGCAAACTTACAAGGAAAACCTCACAAGGTAAGATGTTTGCACAATTCTAGAATAAGAAAAGAACACTCAAAGATAATTACAAATGAGCACAAATGGTGTTCTTGAAAGCAAAATGAATATTGAAAGGAAAATTGGCTTGATTTGCACAAACTTGATGTTTGATACTTTCTCTCTTGTTTCTCTATAATATCTTTTTGATCAAGGGCTTCAGAACTTGTTTAAATACACCTTGAATCACTTCTGAACGTTGGGGATAATTAATGAAGATAATATAGCCGTTTTAGTGTGAAAACAATTAATAAAACAACTTGGAGCGTGGGGGGAATCGGTTCCTCCTCACAGGGAATCGATTCCCTAAGTGTAAAATTCAAATATTTCGACTGTTGAACAGGGGGAATCGGTACCCCCTATGGGGGAATCGGTTCCCTCCGAGCATTCTGGAAATCTCGGAGCCAAACCATTCAGGGGGGAATCGGTACCCCCTTGGGGGGGAATCTGTTCCCTCTGAGCAATCTGGAATTTTTGGCTTTGAAATGGTTCGAAATACTTTGAAAGATTATTTTGAAATTGTTTTAAGATTAAAACTTAATTTTACACTTAAGTAAGGATTAAAAATGATTTTTGAAATATTTTGAGTAATGTTTTGATATTCGAATAATTATATCATACTTAGAAAATCATTTTGGAAAATCTTAAAATTCATTTAACTTAATTTGTTATATTGAAATATCAAAATGTTTTCAACAATCTCCCCCTTTTTGATATAACAAAACATTTTAGTAATTTTAAGATTTTGAAATCAAGTTTTGAAATTACTCCCCCTTACTTTAACACTTCTCCCATTTATCGTTTTAAAAACACACTTCTCCCCTTTTTTGTTAAATCAAAGAGATTCAAATAAACGTGAAAAATATGTAGCCAATTTATTAGTTATATGTATGCATAAGCTGCTAAGATCACAATCAAGAGAATCGTTAGCCATTAGTTCCATAATCAATATTCATAAACAATATGATATGGTAAAATTGGTCATATTGTTAATAATGATGTAAATGATGCAATAATGAATAAATCATACCAAACATATAAGTTCACACCATCCATAAATTCAAACAAATTCACAATCCACAAATTCAAACATTCCAAAATATTCAAAATGTTAAAACAATAAGTTTGGAAAGTAAAACATTTAATCACATATCCGGATCAGGAGGAGGAAAACGAGCTCGCATAGCGGCCATTTCGTTAGTGAGGTCATTAATACGTGCGTTGGTTGCTTCATTATTTGCACACATTTCCCGAAGAATTTCTAATTGTTGAGCTCCCATTGTGGATAAATGGGACTCTATAGAATTAAAGCGCGAATCCATGGTCGCATATCGGTAATCAAATGTCTCCATAAAAGATTGAAAATATGGAGGCATTTGAGTCGATTGTTGTGCTTGCTCTTCGGGCTGCTCTTCGGGCTGCTCAGGTTCATCTTCAGCTTCATCGATGTCTCGCATTAATTGCTCGAGATCTTCGTCAGCTTCAGGTGGAGCTTGTGAAGAACTAGCTCCCGGAGTAGTTGCAGAAGATCGAACCCATTCACCGGTTTCTTTATTTTTGACCCATCCCGCTCTTGTTAAAGAAAGAAGATTGATTTGTTTCTTAAGAGGAAAAGCGGCATCTAGACCAACTCGAAGCTCGGCTTTAGAAAAGAGATTACTAAGGATACAACCGTAAACTAGTGAATAACAAAGTTTCTTATTTGGCACTAGGTTAACGGTTTCAACGATCTCAGCAAAGATAATCTCAGAAAGGTTTATTTTCATGTTATGTTCAAAATAATGCAACCACCAAAGGTCTAAAGCTCTAAGAGTAGAATAACGACCCCCAGATGGTCGTAACCACCAAGTTATCATGAGATGAAGAAAACGCTCATGAAGATCTAGAACACTTGCACTATCATTTCGTTTATATCGTGAGCCTAAAACTTGTTTTTCATTTGATAAACCTTCATTATCCAAGCCTAAGGCATTGGCTATGTAATCTGGATCAAGATGGAAATATTGACCTAGGAGGTAGGAACGTACTCCTGTGGTTTTGGTCTTGTCACGATTTTTGATACAAACGACATTACAGTAGAAGATACGAACAAGTTGATGATAGACAACGGGTTCAAGTTCGAAAAGTTTATCAAATTTCCATTCGTGCAAGATAGGGAGATATTTAAAGTTAATAGCAACCATAGTTTGAAGAGATGGGATACGTTCTTCCCTAATCTTATACGAGTCAAAATATTGGTAAAACCAATAACGATAATCTTTAGGACCCGGTTGATTGAAACAAGAATTTTGGATAGTCAAGTTAGGATCCAGATTTGGAATAGGATTTTGAGGAATAGGAGGAGGATTTGGAGGTGGATTTGGTTGACGGTGTGAACGACTAGATGAAGACCTAGCACGTTTAGGATTAGACATGGTGAAGGAAATCGGAGTAGATTGGATAACCTGCAATTTAAAAACAAATGTATGCAATTCAATTAATCCCAAAACTCAATTGAGTCCTCAATATTTCAAGGTTCTCTAAATCAATCCTAATGGGCAAAGTTTTTGAAAAACTTTTGAAAAATATGGTTTTGAGAAACAATATATGTATAGTTTTCATAACAACAACATAATTTAATCAAAACACAATGATTTGAAAAACACATTTTTTTTAAAAAAAAAAAAATTCGAAAATTTAAAATTTTTGGAAAATTTTTGTGTTTTTGATGAAATTAGTTGTAACATCTAGTTTCTAATCACTAAACAATCAATGCCCGATCACTATTTCAACCTAGAACTAATTAAAACTAATCCTATGTTCAAAAATCAATGAAATAGAGAGTTTAGAAAAATTTACCTTGAAAGATGAAGATTGAGGGGATTTAGATGTTGTTTGCACGATTTTAATGACTCCAACAGGTTTAGAAGATGATATTTGAAGCGAATTCTGATTAATATCGTTGATTTGAGGTAAGAAAGGAGATAGGGAGAGAGTTTGGTCGGCAATGAAGAAAATGGAGGGTTTTTGCGTGTTTTGAAGGGTTCTGCCCGATTTTAACAGAACCCTAGGGGGGTATCGATTCCCCTGTGGGGGGGGATCGGTTCCCCTTCAAAGGGGGAATTGGTTCCCTCATGGGGGGATCGATTCCCTCTGCACCAAAATGCTAAAATCTGATTTTAAACACCCAAAATGCTAAATTAATTTTCTCTAGTGGTATTGGCAACTCATATATTGAAAAATAATTATGTTCAAACAACTAAATTAATCTTTAATTGATATTTGAACATAAAATTAATTTTTCATCAAGAATCATAAACTCCCCCTAACTAATAGCAATGAATGCAATAAAAAATTACTATTATGAGCATTTTTCAGTATTTGTTAAAAGTGTTAAAAAAATATTTCTAAACACTAAGTGAAGATAGGTTGGTCAAACCTAATTCTCTCCTAAGTGTCCAAAATCTTTCCTTGTCTAAGGGTTTTGTAAAGATATCCGCTAATTGATGCAAAGTATCAACATATTCTAGAACTACATCTTCCTTACTGACATGGTCTCTAATGAAGTGATGTCTTATTTCAATGTGCTTAGTTCTAGAGTGTTGGATGGGATTTTTAGTGAGACAAATAGCACTAGTATTGTCACACTTGATAGGAATGGTACCTACTTCAATTCCATAATCAAAAAGTTGTTGTTTCATCCATAAAACTTGTGCACAACAACTACCGGCTGAAATGTATTCCGCTTCAGTGGTAGATAATGCAACACAATTTTGCTTCTTTGAAAACCAAGAAATCAGCATATTTCCAAGGAATTGACAAGTACCGGAGGTGCTTTTCCTATCTAATTTGCATCCTCCATAATCCGCATCAGAAAAGGCATGCAAGCTAAAGCTAGAGTCTCTAGGATACCAAAGTCCTAAACTAGGAGTGTCCTTAAGGTATCTAAAGATTCTCTTAACAGCTAGTAAATGTGATTCCTTAGGACATGATTGAAATCTAGCACATAAGCAAACACTAAACATAATGTCCGGTCTACTTGCAGTTAGATAAAGCAAAGAGCCAATCATTGACCTATATAATTTAACATCTACACATTTACCTCCTTCATCTAAGTCAAGCTTTGTTGAAGAGCTCATTGGAGTGTCATGAGGTTTCCCATTTTCCAGTCCAAACTTCTTGAGCATATCTTTGACGTACTTAGCTTGATTAATGAAGATGCCATCTTTTCATTGCTTGATTTGGAGTCCCAAGAAAAATGAGAGCTCCCCCATCATGCTCATCTCAAACTCACTTTGCATTAGCTTAGAAAATTCTTGGCAAAGAACATCATTAGTAGAACCAATATTATATCATCAACATAAATTTGAACTACTAATAAATCTTTACCTTTATGCTTTAAAAACAATGTAGTGTCAACCTTTCCTTTTGAAAAACCTTTTTCAATTAAAAAATTTGACAATCTTTCATACCAAGCTCTAGGAGCTTGTTTTAAACCATAAAGAGCTTTTGTCAATTTAAGAACATGATCTGGAAATTTTGAATCTTCAAAACCTGGAGGTTGTTCCACATACAGTTCTTCTTTTATAAAACCATTTAAAAATACACTTTTAACATCCATTTGATATAATTTAAATTCATGAAAACATGCAAATGCTAATAACATTCTAATTGCTTCCATCCTAGCTACGGGAGCGTATGTTTCATCATAGTCTATGCCCTCTTCTTGAGTATACCCTTGAGCAACAAGTCTAGCCTTGTTTCTCACTATATTACCACTCTCATCAAGCTTATTCCTAAATACCCATCTAGTACCTACAGTAGATTTATAACTAGGCCTTTCAACTAATGTCCATACTTTACTTCTCTCAAATTGATTTAACTCTTCTTGCATAGCCATAATCCAATGTTCATCATTTAATGCTTCTTTAATATTCTTAGGCTCTATGCATGAGATAAATGCAACATAATTACAAATATTTCTAAGAGAAGATCGAGTTGTTACCCCTTTTGATGGATCACCTATAATTTCACCATCCTTGACATAGTTGTACTCTCTTGGATAAGATACTTCCCTTTCTTCAATGGTTGGATTCTTAAGAGGATCATGAGTTTCCTCATTTTTCATTTCTTCCTTTGATGATGGTTCTCCAACTTCATGTCTAACGTCATTTGTATTTATAACACCTACATCATCATTCACATAAGAATCCTTCCTCGGAAGGGGATTATCATCGAAAACAACATGTATAGACTCTTCTACAACTAAAGTTCTTTTATTAAATACACGATAGGCTTTAGAATTTAAGGAATAACCCAGAAAAATTCCTTCATCACTTTTAGCATCAAATTTGCCAAGGTTTTCTTTACCGTTGTTTAAAACAAAACATTTACATCCAAAAGGATGAAAATAACTAATGTTAGGCTTTTTATTTTTGAAAATTTCATATGGAGTTTTCTTTAAAATTAGCCTAATCATTACTCGATTTACAACATAACAAGCGGTATTTGTGGCTTCCGCCCAAAAATATTTTGGCAAATTATTTTCACAAAGCATGGTTCTAGCCATTTCTTCTAAAGTTCGATTTTTCCTCTCAACAACTCCATTTTGTTGAGGGGTTCTAGGTGCTGAAAAACTATGACTAATACCATTAGAATTACAAAATTCAATAAATCCAAGATTTTCAAATTCAGTGCCATGATCACTCCTAACACTAGTTATAGAGTAACCCTTTTCATTTTGGATTATTTTTGAAAATGTGATGAACTGTTCTAATGCTTCATCTTTAGTACTTAAAAATAGAACCCAAGTATATCTAGAATAGTCATCTACCAAGACAAATGCATATTGTTTTCCACCCAAGCTAGTAGTCCTAGTTGGCCCAAAAAGATCTACATGGATCAATTATAATACTCTAGTAGTTGATACGTCATTAATGGATTTAAAAGGAACACGCTTTTGTTTTCCTTTAGCACAAGCATCACAGATTTTATCATTATCAAATTTAAGCTTAGGCAACCCTCGAACTAAATCACCTTGAATTAGCCGTTGCAAAACACTCATACTAGCATGTCCTAGTCTCCTATGCCATAACCAACTATCATGTTCATCTTTAGCAACTAGGCATAAATTAGTCATATCAAAAGAATCTAAATGCACCATGTAAATGTTTCCTATTCTATGACCAATAAGCATAATCCGATTAGATGCAATGTCAATGACTTTACAACCATTAATTTCAAATAAGACATTGAATCCTTTATCGTATAATTGACTAATACTCAATAGATTATGCTTTAATCCATTCACATATAAAACATTTTTAATTTGTATGGAAGAGGTATTACCTATTGTACCAATACCTTCAATGTGACCTTTTGAATTGTCTCCAAAAGTCACTTCTCCTCCATTTTTGGCGTTAAGCTCAATAAACCGGCTTTTGTCTCCGGTCATGTGTCTTGAGCATCCACTATCAAGGTACCATGAATTTGAATTTGTTTCCCGTGCCTTGTAGCAATGCTCCTTTCCCTACAAACATAGATTAATTTTTGATTTTTGGTACCCAAATTATTTTGGGTCCATATTCATTAGTTTCCAAAATCCCAGTCCCCTTAGGTATACATTTGTGTAGGATATTTTTATCTTTAGTAGTAATGAGTTCTTTAGGAACCCACATACTTCTAACGATTTTTCCATTAGAGATTCTTTGGGGACCTCTATGATTGTAGTTTCTAAAACTTTTTCTAACAAAGTTGGATTTTGAATTTCCACCTTTTTCAAAATGTTTTGTTCCAACTTTATCAAAAGAAGTTTTAAGATCATCAATTTTCTTTTGATGATCATCATTGATCTTTGAAAGTAAATTTTGCAAATCTAAATTTTTCTTTTCAAACTCTTCTAGTTTGATTTGCAAGTCTTTGATTTTACTTTCAAGATCGTTGTTGGTTTTGGATATGAGTTTGTTTTCATTTTTCAATTTTTGAAACATCATTTTTATATTTTAAAAATAATTTCTCATAATCCGAAGCCAACCCATTATATTCCTCTAATAACTCATCATAGGATAAATCATCAAAATCAGATGAGTTAGAGGTTACCTTAGAATCTTCCCCAAATGCCATCAAGCACAAGTTAGCTACTTCTTGTTCCTCTTCATCGGAACTTTCTTCATCACTCCATGTAGCCACATGAGCCTTGTGCTTATTCTTTGATTGACCCTTTTTCTTCAATTGTGGGCAATCATATTTAACATGCCCTGGCTTTTTGCATTCGTAGCAAATGATTGGGTCCTTCTCTTTCGGTTCATTTTTGAGGATTTCATTTCGTTTGAATTTTCTTCCTTGATAAGGTCTCATCATTTTTTTTGAACCGTTTGGCAAACAATGCCATTTCCTTGTCATCGTCATCGTTATTCGAATCACTCTCATCTTTTGTAGATTTGAGAGCAACTCCAATGTTTTTCTTCTTCTCCTTATCCTTTGGTGTCTCGTCAATTTTGTCGTGGTCCACCTCATCTTCGAGCATCATTTCATGAGTGAGGAGTGACCCAATTAGCTCTTCAAGAGTTAAGGACGTTAAGTCCTTAGACTCGATGATTGTCGTCTTCTTTGATTGCCACGATTTTGGGAGGGAGTAGACTAACTTCCTCACAAGCTTTTCATTTGAAATGATCTCTCCATATGATTTGAGACCATTGACAATCGTTGAAAATCTATCCGTCATAGCTTTGATATCTTCATTTGGTTTCATCCTGAAATTTTCATAGCTATGCTTTAGAATACTAATTTTAGATTTCTTTACCTCATCGGTACCTTCATGAGTGACTTGAAGTTTGTCCCATATTTCTTTGGCGGTTGTACACGATGAAACTCTTCCGTATTCATCTGGTCCAAGAGCACAAAATATGATATGGATGGCTTTGGAGTTGACCTGGAACATTCTTGTCTCTCCTTCACTCCACAACCTTAGATGAGTGAGAGGTTTGATGTATCCTTCTTCTACAGCATTCCATGCTCCCATGTCACTTGCTTGAATGAAGTACATCATTCTATTCTTCCAATAGGCATAGTTAGCTCCATTGAAGAAAGGAGGCTTGTTGACGAGCATCGAATCGAGACTAAAGTCGAAGTTTGAAGCGGAGGCCATTGATGACTTTGATAATCGATATAACTCTTCCCGAATCGACTCAAGAGGCGATTAAACCTTCAAATGAGTTAGGCTCTGATGCCAATTGTTGAGTTAATCGATTGACGAATTTGGCCAAGAGGGGGTGAATTGGCAATTAAAAAATTGGTGGAAGCTTTTGCAGAAAATTGAAAGTAATTGCACAGCGATTTAGAGTGGTTCGACTTTCTCAATTAAAGTCTACGTCCACTACCTTAGCTATCCACACTAAGGATTTTCCAACAAATTCACTAATTTGTTCTTTCTTTTGAGGCCAAAGAGATAACCTTACAACACCCTCAAGAATATACCCCAATTCTTGAGAACACTCTTTTCCCAAAGAGAAGATTACAAATTTGCAAACTTACAAGGAAAACCTCACAAGGTAAGATGTTTGCACAATTCTAGAACAAGAAAAGAACACTCAAAGATAATTACAAATGAGCACAAATGGTGTTCTTGAAAGCAAAATGAATATTGAAAGGAAAATTGGCTTGATTTGCACAAACTTGATGTTTGATGCTTTCTCTCTTGTTTCTCTATAATATCTTTTTGATCAAGGGCTTCAGAACTTGTTTAAATACACCTTGAATCACTTTTGAACGTTGGGGATAATTAATGAAGATAATATAGTTGTTTTAGTGTGAAAACAATTAATAAAACAGCTTGGAGCGTGGGGGGAATCGGTTCCTCCTCATAGGGAATCGGTTCCCTAAGTGTAAAATTCAAATATTTCGACCGTTGAACAGGGGGAATTGGTACCCCCTATGGGGGAATCGGCTCCCTCCGAGCATTCTGGAAATATCGGAGCCAAACCATTCAGGGGGGAATCGGTTCCCTCTGAGCAATCTAGAATTTTTGGCTTTGAAATGGTTCGAAATACTTTGAAAGATTATTTTGAAATTGTTTTAAGATTAAAACTTAATTTTACACTTAAGTAAGGATTAAAAATGATTTTTGAAATATTTTGAGTAATGTTTTGATATTCGAATAATTATATCGAATATACTTAGAAAATCATTTTGGAAAATCTTAAAATTCATTTAACTTAATTTGTTATATCGAAATATCAAAATGTTTTCAACAATGTTCAAGAACCCAAGTTTTTCCTCACCATAGACAGGCAAACAAAAAGGTGTTGGGTGGTTTTCTGGCTGAGTTAATGTTTTTGAATGGTAGGGTATATCGGGGACATGAAATTATGACTGACATGAATGCTCAGTTCAAGATTAGTATCTCATATTCTCAAGCTTGGAGAGCCAAATGTTATGCCTTGGAATTTTTGAGGGGGTCGCCAGAAGCATCGTTTGCCCAACTGCCGACTTATTGTCACAATTTAAAGCTGAAAAATCCTGGGTCGGTAACTCATATCAAAACAGATAAAGATGGACACTTTGAGTTATTGTTTATCGCCATTGGTACTGCGGTTAGTAAATCAATATAATTTTGTTGACTCATTTTTGTTAGTTACATGCATTTCACATTTAAATGATTATATTTCTTGTGTATATGATTTTGTAGATTCGTTCGTTTATTACTTGCATGCGCCCATTTATTATAGTTTACGGAGTAT